TTTTCCCCCCCCCCCCCCCCCCTCTTAATCTTTTTTTATCAAGATTGGCTCACTTTAGTCTTCCTACATAATTAAGTTGTCTCCCACTCACAAATTATGTGTCCGCTACTTAGTTGTACTTTCTTGTGCACAGTGCAAATCTAATATTTTGGAGTTTGGTTGATAGGGGCAATAACGTAAAACTAAAAGAATTCCTCGAATTCACCAGCTAAATCATTGAATAATGTGACATAAGATATGATTATGTGTTTTAAGATACGTTTCTCATTACTAAATTCTAAACTAGATTGTACATATATATAAAGCTAGCTGGCATTGATAATTTAAAATTCATAGTCAGAATATGGACAATATTATATTTCTTAATAATTCACAGTTGTTAATAGGTCTCATTCATTAATCATATTAACTTTTAAGTTTTGAGAATTACTTTATTTAAAATTTAATCTGTAATTATATTTAGGCAGCCAAATAGTACACTTGTAGTTACACTATACTTATATCTCTATCAAGTTAGGATTCAACTATATAAATCCTTATTATATCTTTTGCTCTATGTAAACTTGTTTTGTTCCAATATAACTTATTCATACTATCCAGAGGCGGATTTACCTTGAGGAAAGTGGGGCACGTGAACTCATCCTACTTGATAGATCATATAGATTTCTTGTATAACTTTTGATAAAATTTGCTATGTATTGCAGTTGGCACCCATGGTCAAAACAAGAGGTTTGGTGCCTCAAGTTCGAGCCCAGATGGGCACTCATTATTTTACTTTATTTAGCTCTTCCTCTCTTCTCCTGGTTTTTATTCTACTTTTCTTTTTTGCTCCTTTCTAGATTTCCTTTTCTTTCTCATCTTGATTCTTGACAGCATTACCAATCCTATTAATTCTCCAAAATTTCATGGTAACTAACAAATTAATGATTCGAATATTAGCTATTAGTATTATTTTAATTTGAGTTTTGTCTCTATTTTGAACTATTATAAATTTGTTTCACTATAAATAATTTATATGACTACAAGATCTTAAATACTCGATGAGACTTGCTTAAATATTTTTTTTCAAATTAAATTATCACATAATCATATTTGTATTCCAATCAAATTATTGAACTTTTGTCTATAACTTTTATAACGAAATATATATATATATAGGGTAAGCAGTTCACATATAAAGAATGAGTCCTATGCTTTGAGATTTTTTGGTATTTTTGTGCTTCTTTTTCGCGATAAATTTTGTACAAATTTTTGTTTTTACAGTATTAACTTCTTAATAATATTCTATTTTAATTCTCTCTTTATTTTAAATTTTGATGGTAAAAAACTTAATGGTTTAAAAAGAGTATAGTCTATCTCTTTGGATAATGTTTAAAATTAATAATAACTCATAAACATATAAATTTTAATAAGTCAAAACATATAAATTTTCTTACATCAATTGACATTATGATAAGCATAAAAAATTACGTTAAAATTATAGATGGCGCACCCATGGCCTCAAAATCCTGAATACGCCTCTGAAACCTTCGAACCATCAATGGCGAGGAACACACCGGAAAAGTTCGAACCATCACCGGCGCGGAGACCATCGATGACCACCATAATTTTTTCTTATGTATCACCCCTCCATAATAGAATATAAAACAACCCTAGTAGTTCAATCAAATCGGACGAGAAATACTAAAAGGGGTGCCTGAATCTGATCTATAATGGCGGGTGAGCACCCAAATCTTGTTTGATTTGTGAAAATTATTGGATTTTATAGTGACTGTAGTTTCAATTGTTCCTCTTTCATTTTTAATCTCTCGAAAAATTATAGCAGATATTCACAAACCCCTCTTTTTTATTCTCTGTTTCTAATGAGATAGAAATAGCATGATTCCAGCGTTTTATTTCGGATTTTATTCCAGCGTTTTATTTCGGATAGGGTGGCTGTGATTTGTAAGGATTTAGGAAGTGTTAATTCTATTATCTATTTGATTTTTTTTTTTTCGTTTTCATTTGACAAAGAGTATTTTGAAGAATGATTGCTGGGAGTATTTGGGGTAGAGCTAGAGAATTTTTGGGGTTGCGAAGGTGAATTAATGGAGGGGGGACTGTTCGGGGTGGTGAGGGTGGCGGCATACAGGTGGGAATAACAGGAGACAGAGAGTAGGGGGTTCATGGTTCGGTTTGGATCGGTTTTTCTCTAAAAAGAAACCAAACTAATAAGTCGGTTTTTCAAATATTAGAACCAAACCAAATCAATTAAGTCGGTTTTTCCTCGATTCGATTTATGTCGGGGGTTTTCGGTTTTTTTTTCCGGTTATTTGTCGGTTTTTTCTTAAATATAAGACATACACTACCAAACACATATTCCAGCGACCACATTTTCAATGTAACACTATCAAATCAATTGCCCATTGAGAAATTTATTATTTACCAAGATATATTAATGATAATTTAATCAAATAGTGATGAATAATTTAATGACTCAATTAAAAATATATTATTTTTAACAAGAAATGGATTCTTACACTTAACAAAAGAAATCTACAAATCAAACTAGAATGTAAAGGTAAAGAACTATACTAAAAGTGCAAACTATTAACATTTACCATAAGTTTTTTGAAACTTTGTATAAAAATATACATATATATAAGTGTAATAATAAATTTGAAATAGCTAATCCTATAGTCGGTTTAGTTTGGTTTTTTTCTGATTAAAACCAATACCAAACCAAATTTGACCGGTTTTTAAAATTAAAAACCAAAACCAAATAAAAAAGTATTGATTTTTTTGGTCGGTTTGGTTTGGTTTTCGGTTTGGCCCGATTTTTCGGGTTTTTATGAACACCCCTAATAGAGAGTAGAGGGAGGAGTGAAGTGAAAATAAAATAAAAAATAAAGTAGAAAATTCTGAAATGAATTGAAAAAATAATGATGTGGCATAAAAAATTTGAGGTGGACATGGATGTGTCATCCACGTTGGATCGTTGAAGACAACGTGAGGTCGGAAGAGTTTAAAAGAGTTGTTTTGAACGAGTAGAGATATCTGGATGAAACTTTGTAGAATATATGGACCGACATGACAAAGTGGGACAAGTATAAGTGTCATTTAGGTTATTCTGCCGTATTAAAATGTGAATTTGCTTTGTAAAAAAGGGAGTCCAATGTGTCCCGTACCTTTTGTGCTACCAAATAGTGGCATACCACAATCTACCAATTTCTAGAAATACTTTTGAGTTTGGATGGTAGGGGCAATAACCTTTCCTCTGATTACTAAATTAGAAACTCAAACTGTACATATACAGCTAGCTGGCATTGATAATTAAAAATTCCGAATCTGAACATGGACAATGTTATATGTATATTTCTCAATGATTCACAGTGTGAATAGGCCTCATTCATTGACTCACAGTAGGTAAAAAGAATGGTTCTTCAATGTGAAAGCCCTTTTCCTTCTCTCTAATAATTGACTAAACTTCTAAGTTCTATCACCGCAGATTAGAAGCTCTCCGCTCCTCATAGAATTGAAGGTCAGTGTTTTTCTCGCTTAAGAATAGAAATCATATTTCCTTGGTCTCAGATTGGAGGGTAGCAGCTTTTAAACTTCAATGAGTTCTTTTTTCTATTTTTTGTTTCAAAATTAAATTAAGACAACATGGATTTATACTCATACAGTGCTGTTATTGATTGTAAAATTATTACTATTTCATTTACTTTGAAATATGTCGCTATATTTAAATATTAGTCATAGAATGCAGAATTCTAAATTTAATAAGCTGGATTAATAATGAATGAAATAAAGTATAACTGTAAATGTTTAATTGAATTGGGAATTTATAGATCTATGTAAAGGAATCTGAATCTGAAAATGGGAATATCTTGATGTAATTCATGCATAAGGAGAATTTTACATTAGGTTTTAAGAGTTCCTAATCTTAACTGGAGCATTACCATTGTTTGCACCTATTTTTTTCCTGATCTTTATAGNGATTCTCGACTTGGGTGTTGGGTTGGGTACTTGCCTACTTGGGTATTGATTGGGATTGGGCTTGGGGGAGCTGGGCCTGGGTGGGAGTGGGAGTGGGACGCTGGGGCCTGGGATGGGGCATGGCCTGGCCGCGTTGGCCTATAAAATAGGTAATTGGGCTTAGTCACTTGGATATTTTCGGTATTTCAGTTTACCAAATTTGTAAAATTATAAAACCGAAAACCGAACCGAAATACCGAAATACCGAAAATTCATTACCGAATTAGACCGAAAAACCGAAAAAACCGAAACCGAAATACCAAATTAATTTGGTTCGGTTCGGAATTCGGTTTTTCGGATTTTTTGCCCACCCCTACTTTATAGTCTTTGTCTACAGTTGCTGGTTTTTTTATTGCTTACTGGAGATTGACCATGTCATTACTATTACTCCTGTTAGGCATACTGCTCTCTGACAGCAAGCATTTTAACCCGAAAAGAGATCAAGCTAATTAGGATGGAGAATGTCAACATTAATGAGATTGCTACACCAAGTACTCAAGAAACTGAAGAGGAACCTGTGGGGCTTGAGGATGATGCTGAGAAGATAATTAAGCTACTGACCAGAGGAATAAGGGAACGGGATATTGTCTCTATTTTTGGCATGCCTGGTCTCGGAAAGACCACTTTGGCAAAAAAGATATTCAAAGATTCTTCTATTGTTTCTCACTTTGATGTTCGAGCATGGGTTACCATTTCACAATCATATGATGTGAGAGAGCTGTTGAGGGACATCTATAAGCAAGTGACAGGTGTTAAGTACAATGGAGATAAGAAGAGTGACATAGCTGATATGTTGCGCAAATGTTTAATAGGCAAAAGATATCTCATTGTCTTGGATGATGTATGGGAAGTAAAGGCATGGGATGAGTTAAGATTATGTTTTCCAATCGGTAGACAAGGAAGCAGAATCATGTTAACAACTCGACTTGAACATGTGGCAATGGAAGTCGAGCACTGTACCAATCCTTATTCCCCTCGATTCCTAACAAGGGAAGCGAGCTGGAAATTGTTGGTGAAAAAAGCATTTCAAAAGGAAACTTGCCCTCCTGAATTCGAGAATGTTGGGGTACAAATTGCAGAATATTGTAAAGGACTGCCTCTTACAATTGTTTTGATTGGTGGAATTCTGGCAAAGAAAGAAAGGAATGTCTCAGAGTGGTGTGAAGTTGCAAACAATTTAAAGTCTCATCTTGGAGCAGTTGAAAGTGAGAGCAACTTGGCACTGCAGTTAAGTTACCGCTACTTACCGGATCATTTGAGACATTGCCTTCTGACTATGGGAGTATTTAGGGAGGATGAAAAAATTGGAGCATCTAAATTGATGTTACTCTGGATGGCCGAAGGCCTCGTTCAATGTAGTGATGAGAGAGGATTGGAGGCGGTAGCTGAAGCTTACTTGACCGATATAATTTCTAGTAGCCTTCTAATGATTTCAAAGACGGCCTTTGATGGCAAGGTGAAGTACTTGCAAATTCATGATGTAGTGCGTGACTTTGTCTTAAACAAAACTAAAGAAGAAAAGTTCATGCAAGTTATAGGGACAAATAACCAATATCAACCTTCATATGATGAGGAACATCGAGTATGCATTCACCTCGACCATAAGCTTCGTCGTGATTTGCAGAGATTCAACAACGAAGTAGATAGATTCCTCACAAGCGGCTCCAAAAAAGGAACATCTTTTGGACAAGAACTTAAATCGTTCTTTGTTACTAATAACGTGGATGATTTTCTTGCTTATAGAGATTTTTGGAATAGTGAGGCTAATTTTCACGGTACTGTTTCTAAAGAGTATTTATCTCGTTCGTATCATTTCTCATCAGTTGGAGACTTTAGACTTCTTAGAGTGTTGGATTTCAGGAACTGCATTCCAGGGGATTATACGAATATAGAAGATATACTGCAATCACTAGTTTACCTGAGATACCTGGGAATGTGTTTTGAAAAGTTTTTTTTCGAGTGGGTATCACACATGTGCGACCTGGAAACTTTACTGGTGGATACTGAGAGAATAGTAGAGGCGACACCTCATATTTGGAAGATGACGAAACTAAAGCATGTAGACCTATTAACACTTTTACCTCGTGAGATATTTGCAGTTTCTGAAGAAGGCCCGTCTAAGATGGAGAATTTGAGGGCCTTTAAAGGCATGTGTTTACTTCGTGACGATATAGAGTTAATTGAGAGGTTTCCCAATCTTCAAAAGCTTCTCCTCATGATAGCTGATAATGATATTGATGAAGCTAGCTCTCTAGTTCTGAAATTGGATGTTCTTACACAGCTTCAATCCCTCGTGGTTGGTTCGATGTGTAATATCACCAATTATTATTTTCCTTCAAGTCTCAAAGAGCTGATCCTCCGAAAAGTCAATATACCAGCAAGTGCAACTTCCACAATCGCTTGGTTACCCAACCTTCAAAGACTGATATATGAAGGGTGTAAATTCGAGCAAGATGAGTGGGACGTGAGAGATATGGAGTTCCCGGTACTCAGAATCTTAAAATTTCAAGGCGTTCATCTTAGGGAATGGCATGTCTCAGAATCATCATCATTTCCCAAGCTTGAGAGTTTAGTGCTAAGATCTGTTGAATTGCTTGAGAAAATTCCTGACAGTTTTGCGGATATTGGAACGCTTACAACAATCAAGGTGTTCTATTGTGATGATAATGTCAAGGCTTCAGCTTTGGAGATTAAGGAAGAAGTAGAAACAACTTCAGGATGTGACAATCTCAAGGTCTATATTTTTCCACATTACTCTCGGTATGTCTTTCTTTTTACTTTTTTAATTTTTTTCCTGATAATTCAATTTATGAGTTTAGTTCATTACGTTATTGTTGTTATAACTGCAGAATATGTTTATATCATTATGTTATGTTACATTAATTATTGTTGTTAAAAAAATAGGGAACAAAGAGAATATGAAGAGGAAGAGAAAGAGGAAGAAGTAGAAGAAGAAGCAGTAGCAGAAGAAAAAGAGAAAGGAGAAGACCAAGCAGCAGCAGAAGTAGAAGAAGAAGCAGTAGCAGAAGAAAAAGAGAAAGGAGAAGACCAAGCAGCAGCAGAAGTAGAAGAAGAAGCAGTAGCAGAAGAAAAAGAGAAAGGAGAAGACAAAGCAGCAGCAGAAGTAGAAGCAGAAGTAGAAGCAGAAGAAAAAGAGAAGGGAGAAGAAGAAGCAGCGGCAGCGGCAGTCGGTTTCGCCTTTGATTAGACCCCTACTTTGATGGAATATCAGCTACTATATTTAAAGCAATGGACTGCAAAGACATTCTTGAATATTGCTAATCTAGTGCTGAAGCTTCCATGAAGGTTTGTGTACCCCATCCATCATGTCAATTATGATCTTTGAATCCATCTCCAGTATGACATAGTATAAGCCCATAAAATGATTGTATCTCAAGTCAATTAGTGCAGGCTAGACTTAATGCCATGTTGTTAGTGTAGTAGTTGAGCTTTTCTGAGAAGGCAAGCACCATTGAGCCATCTTCCCTCTCATTACGCCTCTCGCTCCTGCTTGCTTCTCTCTCCATGAAAAGCCTCCATCTGTATTGATAAGCATGGTGTTCTCATTACACCAGTAAACTGGAACACCATAAGTAATAGGGGAATAGTGTTTAAAATGTTTTATCAATAGTAACTTGTGTTGAAAATAAACTGCTAAATAACTCTAAATACTGTAGTTTGAGTTTGGCCGTACCTGACAAGCACACTTTCTCTTCCATAGTTCCTATGTAACGAAAATAGGAAGGATCTTGCATGAATTGTTGTACTGATGCACCCACCAGCTCCAAGAAGGGTTCTAATCTAGTTAGAATCCAACCTGATGCCCATGGCATTTGCAAACTAGGTCCACACTCTTAATTGTCACATTTTCAATAAGTGAGAGGTGGTTTCTGATCGAGGGGACCTACAGCAAGTGCATTTGGAAATAATATTTTGACTAAATCTAGATAAAGTATCATCCAAATGAAATTTTTTCTTCAGAATACTCCAACAGAGGAAAGCTTTAAAAGGAATTCCTTTGTGCCATAGCCTAGAAAATGTGTCATTTTTATTTCTGTCCGATCTCTCTAGCAGAAGAACAAATGAACTATCCATCAGAACTAAGATCCAATAACATTGATCGTCTGCATAAGTGCGAGAGACATGAATCTGTTCTATGTGACTTTGCATTTAGGATGGACTATCTTAGACAATTTGTTGGAGTTCCATCTACTGTCCTGAGTGCATTCCTTGACCTTAATCTCTCCTGATCTACCTCCAGGTTGTAGTACAAGAGCTAAAGGACCAAGTCCTGTCCGGTTGTGCCACCTAGGGCTACATAGGTCGGGTTGGTTCGAATTTTGCAATTACCAAACCAAACCAATTGTGTCGGGTTATTTAATTTAAAGACCAAACCAATAAAACTCGGGTTTTTCAATATCGGGTTTTCGGGTTATTCAGGTTTTTCGGGTTTTTTTCCGGTAAAATATTTGTAGGACAAAACATTTAACTTGTGCTCAAAATATTTCTTTAATCCTGGTAAGATATAACTATATAAGGTATTTTCCAAGAAAATAATACAAAATACTAAGATATGTCATGGCATTATCCTAGAATATTCAACAATAAAGACAATAAAATTATGTAATATACATATTGCTAATTAAAAAACAATAATAAAAATAAACATAATCTAAAAGTACTAAGTCATGCGAAAATAAGTAGACTAATAAGGGAGTATTAATTACATGATTAAACGCTAAAGAAAAAATAAAAATAGGTTACATATTTTTATCTAAATTATTGCAAAACAAAAATAGATATTCAATACATTGTCATTCGTAGTATTGAATTGACTGTCTTTTGTTAGCATTAGTATTGATTTGATTTTGGTTTGGGCTTTTGTTAGCATTATTTATCTCTTATTTAAGTTACTAATATTAATGACTATAAAATTTATTGGAACATTCAAAAGTTCTAAGTCCAACCTTGAAATAATACCTTAAATGATAAAATTATGAAAAAAGTTTAAGAAATATTTACAAATTACATCACAATAAGTATATTTATATGTTAAATATATCTAAAATTTCTATATATGTAATGCCGAGTTGGTTTGGTTTCGGTTTGACTTTCTTTAGTTAAAATCAAACCAATTATGGTCGGATTTTTTTTCCAACACCAAACCAAATCAAACCAAACCATAGTCGAATTTTTCTCTCAGTTTGACTCGAACTATCGGGTTGATTCGATTTATCGATTTTCTTTGTACACCCCTAAGTGCCATCAAAATAATGAATTTCCTTTATTAACTTTCCATATCATATATGGCTCAGCTTTCTTTCTACTCTCCAGGAGCTTTTTGCAGCTCTATGATTGAGTAAAGATCTATTTTCTAGCAATGATATTGGTCCTTAGACAATACTTTGCCGTGATGAAAGAAGCCTATAGACACTGGTGAGTCCTCAGTCTGCACGATCGTTTCATAGCAAATAGCCTTGTATGTTAGAAAGGGAATTAAATCCAACTCCCGCCTCATCCTTAAGTTAGCATAATTTGCTCCATGAGCTTGAATGGTACTTACTATTTTCCTCATTTTGTCCTCAAAAGAAGTTTGCTAAGTATTTGTTTAATTTGGTATAAAACAACTTTTTAAGGATACCGCTTTATAATTGAGCTTGCTTAATTTTGTATGACTGACTGAAATCGAGGTGATAGATTAAGGCTCGGCCTCAGTTATATCGGATCATAATACGAGGATGAATAAATAAGCTCGTGGAACAATGGCCGATCAAGATCGATATCAACCGTGACCGAGTCCGAAGCGAGAAAGAGATCGAATGAGAACGGAGAAGCCTGCTAGGTCGAATAACAGAAACCCGATATAGCCGTGATCAGGCGAGGATTGTGGCGGAAACCTCGGCGCGTATCAAGCCAAGACCGGATATTTAGCCCATCATGGGATTTCCTTCTGTAATTATAATTGTACCACAAAAAGAATTCCTCTACTATATAAAGAGGGTCCTAATCATTTTGTAATCACATACATTCTCGCAGATCAAAGCAGTATATTACATCTTTTCATTTAAGCTCTATTGTTTGGTTCATACTTTTAGCATACTTTGTTGTTCGAGGGCGATCTAGCTCGAGGGCCACAATTATTCATCACATTGTTTTGATTTATTTTACTGTTAGTTTCTTACGTTAATTTTCACATTTATCAGTTTGTGCCAAGTGAAATCACATATCTTTAAAACCACTTATAAGTTTAATTGTTATCCAATTTTAAAGGTAAACAGTTTGTCGCCCACCGTGGGGCTAAGGATAATAGTGATTGCCTGGTACAATTTTTGTAACACAGACTATTTTACGCTTGTTCTTTAAAGTGTCATTGATTCCAGGATCAACATATCAAACTCTCAAGTAGCGCCCACACACACAGACAATGGCCTTGGTCTTCACGGCGAGAACGGAAACATAACCGCCCCAGGAAATGGAGTACCTCCAGTCAACCTCGATGGAGCTCCGGACGTGGACCCTATCGACGTCAGCTCCCATATCGCCATTAATGGAAATTTGGGCGTCGATCTGAAAATAGCGTCCGCAGAGATGCTCGAACAACCGATAAAAACGCACAGAGCGGTGAAAAAAAGAGGAATTTAGACTTCGAATAATATTCGAAATATTTTAGAATCAACAAGCTACAATAGCACAACTCCAAAATTAGAATCGTGCATCGAGTAGGATCGAGCTCGGGCCATCACAAGAAGTTGTTCATAGAACCGAATCGGTGCCAAAGAGATAAAATGGAGGAGAAACGGCGACTAATCCTGCTATCGTAAAGATGTCTCGAGGAACTGACAAAGCGAATCAAGATTGGGGAAAAGAAGATCGAGTAAAATGATAAGAAAGTGGAAATTTATAATTCCAGAGTCGACCAAATCCCAGGGGCACCTCCGATATTGAAAGGGCTAGATTCTAAAAAGTTCGTACAAAAACCCTTCCCCCCAAGTGCGGCTCCGAAGCTAGTCCCTAAGAAGTTCCGTATGCCCGAGATTTCGAAGTATAACGGGACAACTGATCCGAATGAGCACGTCACCTCGTATACATGCACCATCAAAGGAAATGACTTGGAAGATGATGAAATTGAATCCGTATTGCTGAAGAAATTCGGGGAAACTCTATCAATGGGTGCCATGATATGGTACCATAATTTACCACGCAATTCTATTGATTTATTTGCTATGCTTGCAGATTCCTTTATAAAGGCGCACGCTGGAGCCATTAAGGTTGCAGCAAGAAAATAAGACCTATTCAAGGAAAGGCAGAGAGATAACGGGATGCTCAGGGAGTTCGTATATTAGTTCCAAATGGAGAGAATAGATTTTCCGTCGGTCACCGATGATTAGGCTGTTCAAGCATTCACTCAAGGTCTCAATGATCGGAGTTCTATATCTTCATAACAATTAAAAAAGAATTTGATCGAATATCCAGTTGTCACTTGGGTCGATGTACATAATCGTTATTAGTCGAAGATAATGGTCGAGGATGATCAACTGGGTCCCCAACCGGGTTGGTTTATCCCAAAAGGCCCGTGGACAGAGTTAAAAGGGTCTTCGACCGGGAACCGCAGTCGAACAGAGACCAATATCAGCCATACGGTGGAGATCGGAGAAGTAACGAGCATGGACACAACCCCATTCGGAATGATCGAGCATAGAGCTCCCGAGGGCTCATGAGCAAGAGTGGTTTCGATAGGGATGCCGGGTCTAAAGAAGCACCTCGATTGTCAGAATATAACTTTAGCGTAGATGTTTCCGCCATAGTATCGGCCATTGGTCGTATCAAAGATACCAGGTGTCCTCGACCTCTACAGACTGATCCGGCCCAAAGAAACTCAAACCAAATATGAAAGTATCATGGCACTCATAGCCATAAAACAGAAGATTGCAGACAACTAAGGGATGGAGTAGCCTGATCGTTCAACGAGGGGCACCTTCGGGAATTCTTAAGTGATCGGGCAAAGAACCACTTCAGAAACAGAGATTCAAACAGACAGAACGAGCAAGAAGAACTGTAGAACATGATTCACGTGATCATTGGAGGGGTCGATATTTCTCAAGGATCGATATTTAAATGCACCAAAGTGACAATCACAAGGGAAAAGCGAACACATGACTACTTACCGGAAGAGACTTTGTCTTTCAACGACGAGGATGTAGAAGGGATCGAGAAACCTCATAACGACCTACTGGTAATATATGTCCTTATGAATAAAATTCAAATTAAACGTGTTTTGATTAATCCAGGTAGCTCGACCAACATTAGTCGATCGAGGGTCGTAGAACAACTCGACCTACAAGATCAAATTGTACCTGCAACCCGAGTACTTAACAGCTTCAACATGGCAAGTGAAATCACCAAAGGTGAGATTATTTTGCTAGTGAACGTGGCCGGGACCATCCAAGAAACAAACTTCCATGTAATCGAGGGTGATATGAGGTACAACGCCCTACTCGGAAGGCCTTGGATCCACAACATCAGGGCAGTGTCGCGCCCCCTTTTCTTGTGAAAGTGGGTTTCAACATTTGACCACTCATTTTGAGAGAGTAGGGAAAATGAATTGGTTGATAGAGTTGCCACCTAACAGATTAAGGTGCGTTAGGGCACCTATAGCAAATAACTCAGATTATACCAGTTTGCATCACCATAGATCAGGTAAGGGCTCAAATTTCCTCATAGGGAAGGTGTTAGGCACCCCTCGAGGTACACAACGGTGGGTCCCGATCGAACATAAATTATGCTAATTAGTCTAAGGAAGCGAATAAACTATTAGTAAGGATGGGGGTCCTAAATTGTTTAGCCTATAGGATCACCACGCGCAATATAAATAATACTTTGTAACTCCCCCAAGAAGAGAGGTGTTACTCATATTATTCAGCGGGCACAGACTATCATCTCCTACTACCCGATTACTATCTTTGAGTTTTTACCTAAAAGCGCTCTAGTTGATTCTAACTCGTGTCCTATGCGTGCACTACCCATCCTTTACCTAAGGTCCTGGAGGCATTGGGACCTCTATTTAGGAAGGTCCTAGACTAGGCCTAAGATTATCAAAATTGTAAAATGCTAGGAGACAAGCAAAACAGTTAGGACTTTTCAAATAAAAGCATATATGGGCTCACGTTAACCTCCTCATGTAAACAACAAATGCAGCAACTGATCTAGCAGGCTTTATTAATCTTAGAGTCATATAGGTAGGATATTTATGTGATGAACATGCGAGCAACAGTATGCAGAGATAGTTCTTAATGCGAGTGTTAGGGCCTACGTATATTTACCTACTGATTTTAGTTCAGTACAATATCTAGGTGTTTCATAATAGTAAATCACAATCATAAGTCCAGAATTATTGTTCAGCCCTATAAGCATGTTATATAAGTGATTGACAGTGATAATCGAATTCCCAATCAGTTAATAGAATCCTATATGCATGACCTCTACGAGTGTGCTGATTATTACCATATAGGCATGATTTCTATCATTCAATTGATTTTAATCATATAGGCATAATTTCGAGCCATAAGCTAATTTTAATCATATAAGCATGATTTCTAGCATCGAACTGATTTTAATCATATAGGCATGATTTCTAGCATTGAGTTAATTTTTATCCTATAGGCATGATTTCTAGCATTGAGTTAATTTTTATCCTATAGGCATGATTTCTAGAATGGAGCAGTATATGAGCAGGAATTTATACACATTGAACCAGAAAACAATTAAGCCGAATATTGATCCTATAGGCATGATTGCTAATACACGTTTATTGGACAGATTGATACACCTAAAGGCAAGATTTCTAACAAATCATAACATCAATCTAATAGGCAGGATCTCTAGCATGTAAACATAACATAGGACTTATAAGCATGAAACAAAGCAGTACAAATGAGATCCTATAGGCAGGATTCTACCCGATTTAGCAAATGAAAATGAGAAACCCTTCCCAATTTTACTAAATACCCCAGAGTTGTTTGTTACAAAATTATTACAGAACAGATTAATGAATGAATTATGTCACACCTTCTTTTCTACCCCGGAAGGGGTATAGGGGAGTTTTACCAATTAAAGTGACAAAATCGAAACGAGATTATTTATTTATTCAGAGTCACCACTTGGGATATTTATGGTATCCCAAGTCACCAGTTTAGAATCCTGAGTCGAGGAAGTTTGACTCTTTTTTACAATCCGTGAAATACAAAAATACGGGTAAGAAATTATATTAATCTAGAAGAAGGTGTTAGGTATTCCCGAGTTCCATGGTTCTAGCACGATCGCTCACCTATTATTATTGGCCTAATTATGTTATTAATTGCATATTTTTAAACCTATTCTATTCTTTAACCTTTGACCGCTTTTAATTATTAATGGAATTATTCTGGAACAAGTTACGATTGTCATACACTTGTTTGTTTGGTACACATTGCAAATCATTTCACGAGAACCGTACCCACGATTTACAACATGTTTAAATTATTAACATTATTAGTTGTTATGGCCGGGTCACATAAATATACCCCCGAATTTGGACATTAAGTATCACAACTACGTCACAGGAACCGTACCCGTAGTTATGATAATTTATTTAATTAATCTGCCTAAAGAAAACTACGAGAGTTCAAAGCATTTTTCTACATTAGTTAAGATATTGGTGTGAGGGCCATAGACTATGTGATTGAATGACACACCTCAATTTATTTCAAAAGATTTGTGCTCAAATTAAAGTGAATTACGAGTATTCATACTTAAAAACTAATTTGAAATTAGGTATCACAACCACGCCACGGGAACCATACCCGTAATTAAGATGATTTAATTATGTGCCTAAAGCAAACTATGAGGTTCATTATTCCCTTCTTTGATACTAGTTTATGAGGTTTGCCAGAAAAACTAAGAATCAAACTCTAGGCATATCTGATTCATTTGATTGTTATGGATCCTTAAGTCTATATTTCTAAATCACATTGATTCTAAAGTCCATATGTTCGAATCTGCTGACCCTAAGAAATTGAGAAATGCCATTTGTTTTTAATTAACCTGCTGAAAAGTTGTAATAAAATAAAGGCTGGAAAACATTAGTTCCTGTAAATTCACACTGGGTTATACTCCATGGTCCATGTCCTGAAGTGTCCAGACTCACATGCACAACTCTATTTGGGTTGTTTCCAAGTCTGGCTCAATTTACCTTCTTAGGCACAGCTTCATACAAATTCCAAAATATATAGCATATAAAGACTTAAAATACAGCATTGGACATAGAGTCAAATTAACATATGACCACATGATAACATAAATAAAACATTAGCATCCAAATCATGCTTCTCATTTATGATATCTAAAAGATGTGAACAATATTAGTACATGTTTTCATGCGGATATAGGGTGAACTACCAAACTAGACCCTAGGCCAAACAGGCGGGGTGTCATTCGGCCTAAATTGGCCCCCCCAATATTTGATCTAATTCCTGTTAAGGTGTGTTTTTCATGTTTCCATACCCACAACATAGAGTGCAATACAGTGGATACATTGTTACACATTCAATCGCTACTAAAAGGTAATTAAACTAAAATCACACTTTCCAGCCATACTTTATACATCAACATCTGTTTATATTGAAATTCCATGTCCACTTGACAGTAACAATAGACTGTGGATCATCGAATACCAACTCTTGATTGAACAAAAAAGAAAAAAAAACTTAGCTACGGAATGGTAAACCAACTTATTCTAAACTATCTAATGATTACTTTATTAGCTATAAGTGAAATTCCCAGCAATGATCTTTCAGGAGGCTGCCAACTCTTTTACGTACAATGAAAACAAAAACTCTGTTTTAGCTTTGAGATTCATGAATCTGGCCATGTTAAAGATCAGATTCACGAAGGTCGGGGCTATACACATGCGACTAGCTGTATTACCATATCAATTCAACCAACAGGTACCAGAACATTGAATAAGACCGACCAAGCAATTTACACAATTTAAACCAACAGATGACAGCTCCTATAATTAACACACACGAGAAAACATATCTTTTCATAGCATAACAAATACTGAATGAACAAAGAATTGCAAGGTCAATGCAGGTTTAGACATTGTTGCATTTATATGAATGAATCACATCACAACAACTAGCAACATTAACAGGGACAGAAGAAGGACACTTGCATTTATCTTATATCAAATTTACACATACTTAAGCACATGATGGAGTGTGTACCTAGCTGCTCAGAGATGGATCCAAACTTACTAAATAGAGACAAAGTAATTCAGCAGCAAAGAAATAGCAGTATCAGCCAATATACAGCTTTAGTATCAAGCCATATTTCAAATTAGAAACCCAGGAATTCCAAGGAAAACCACTCCAAACCTTTAGGTGAAAAGCAGAAAACAAAAAGCTGATAGAAAGAGTAAGTTGGATTTTCAGAAAAGGTTTTTTTAGGTCTCAAATATGTATCAGCCTCTCCTTTGAGTGAAGAGAAGGGTACTATTTATTGTCCTAAATGCCATGTGCTGGAAAACTGAAATCAGGGAATTATTCCCTCGCACAGCCCCTAAAAGCATCTTTCTAACAGAAATGGGATAGCTGGCAGCCTCTAATTAGTTTCAACATTTTTGTGGTGGCCAAATAGAGCCAGCTGCCCCAAATTTAGAAGCTTCTATCCAAACTTTTGTTTGTATACCCCTCCCATGACCCCCTTAAGTTTTTATTTCTTCGATTAACCCCTACAAGTCCTTAATGACTTACAAACTATGACAAACAAAAATAAACAAGCAAATATCAAATAGACTAATCAAACAACAAATAACAAAGCCAAAAGTGTGGATATCTGGCATCTTAAAATAAATCTAAAAGGACCCAATTTCATGATGAATTTCAGATTTAATAATCAGAAATCTAAATCTAATTCAAATGACTAATGACAACCTAACTTAAACTAGTACTACATAACAGATTGAATCTAAGAAACTAGTATGAGACATTCAAATCGAACAGGTAATAGTAACACAAAATAACGTAATAACTTAAAGCATGCAGCTAAACACTAAAACAAAAAAGAGCAAGAAGAGATAACTGGAAAAGATACGCAATATAAGGAATTTATCCTAAGATTTTAATTAATGCTACTGCTTAATTAACCAAAACAAAAGACAGAGATGAAGAAAAATTCTAACAACTCATTTTTTATTTTATTTTATTTTCAATAGGTGTGGATCAGAACATAAGTGAATATAAAAATAGGGCAAGAAAACAAGGGGAAAGTAATACCTAATGAGGTTCAGGAATGAAGGAACGGACCCCGGATCAGTTGGTTGGCTAGACTCCGATCGCACTTTGAAGTGGGTCCAAAAATACATTAAGCAATCATTCTTGCTGAGAACGAATAGTTAATGTAATTTTAGACTCAAATCGTGCATTGAAACTCGAGGAGTCAGAAGAGAAATCAGCAAAATGGGTAAGCTAGGGGTTTTCTGGAATTTTGAAGAAATAAAAAGATGAATTTAGGAGCAAGGGTGGTGGGATGGTGGTGAGGGAAGGCTGTGGGTTACTTGGTATGATTTTTGTTTTTTTAAGTGTTTTAGGGTTTGAGGCTAGAGTCTCAGATGTGAGATAAAAGCAAATGGGTGGGAATTTTGGGAAAATTGATTGTGGGATAGTATAAAGGGGAGGCTGGTGATTATCTGGTATAGGTTTGGGGTGGTTTGGAGTGTTGCCACTGTTGTGACGTAATTTCCGGTCGGCGGCGGACGGTGGTGACTTGAGAGATAACAGGGATGAGATATGGGGGAAGTGAGGACCGGTCTCTAGGGTTTGGGGGTCCAATTTGGATAGTTTTAAGGTAATTGGGATGGGAGTTCGGAGCCGTTGGATCAGATTAGATGAAGGGTCTAGATCAAACGTGACATAATGATGTTGTTTGGTTTATGTAAGAGACTAGACCGGGTATGGGGGATTTTGGGCTTGGGTTTGGACCGATTTTGGGTGTAAGAATTAGCCCAATTTCAAATTAGGCATCTTTTCCTTTTCCAATTCCTTTTCTTATTTCATTTTCCTTTTTTTTCTTTCTTTTTTTTCTTTTCTTTAATAAAAATCCTAAATTAAATTTTAAATTAATCTAAAATGTAAAATTGAGCTAATTATCTAATTATAATATTTATAAAAATTAGTTGATCCTAAATTAAAAGAGAAAATTGCTAATCTAAAATTAAAAGCTAAATATAAAATGAGCCAATTTTTGTGATTTTTATTTTAATAAAGCAATTACTTAACAAATTAATCGTAAAAATGTGAAGACAAAATCTAAATGCAATGCATGGTGTTTTGTTTTTGATATTTTTGGGGCATTTTTATGATGATTATTTTTATAAAAATTAAACGTGCACAAAAATGCAAACAATTAATAAAATCCTATAAAACAAATCCTATAAAATGGCAAATAATTGGAAAAAATCTATTCCTTTGATTTTATAGGAGTATTTTGAATAGGGCAAAAATCACATGTTCACAATTACCTCTCTTTTCTCGGAAACAAGAAGAATTTTTGGGCAAAGATAAAGTGAGCAGATACGAGCGATTTTGCCCATTTGGATACACCGTGAGAAGAATTTTTGAAAGATCTGATCGAATCTGGCTTCCGAGAGTTCCTACATATCCTTGTCTATAAAGGAATCATGCCAATGCAGTTCTGAAAGTTTTGGTAGCTGGGACTATTGAGAAACTGTGATCTCACTACTGCTGCGGCTGCTACTGCTTGCTGAACTCCTTATTACACCGAGATAAAATGAAAAGGAACTTAGACTAATCTATGATCTATGAATTACAAAATCCTATCTATATAACTTCAAACTTGATCTTGAAACCTCTGCGGCTCTGCCGCGCATCTTGAACTGTTGACTTGCACTCTTGAAACGAGCCTTTGCTATTTCTAACTTGAATCGGCCTCATTCTTCGGGCGGATCCTGCTATTGTCTTGAGCTTACTTCTAAAATGAATTCCCTTATTTTTCAGGTGGGTGCCTAATGCTGAAACTTGAAATGAAGTCCCTTGATTTCCAGGTGGGTGCCTGATGCCAAAACTTTGAGATGAATTCCCTTGTTTTCTAGGTGGGCGCCTGATGCCAAAACTTGAAATGTATTCCCTTGTTTTCCAAGTGGGTGCCTGATGCCAAAACTTGAACTGTATTCTCTTGTTTTCCAGGTGGGCGCCTGATGCCAAAACTTGAACTGTATTCCCTTATTTTCTTGGTGGGCGCCTGATGCCAGAACTTGAAATGTATTCTCTTGTTTTCCAGGTGGACGCCTAATGGCAGAACTTGAACTGTATTCCCTTGTTTTCCAGGTGGGCGCCTGATGCCAGAACTTGAACTGTATTTCCTTGTTTTACAGGTGGGCGCCTGATGCCAGAACTTGAAATGTATTCCCTTGTTTTCTAGATGGGCGCCTGATGCCAGAACTTGAACTGTATTCCCTTGTTTTCCAGATGGGCGCCTGATGCCAAAACTTGAAATGTATTCCCTTTGTTTTCCAGATGGGCGCCTGATGCCATAACATGAATTGTATTCCCTTGTTTTCTAGGTGGGCGCCTGATGTTAGAACTTGAACTGTATTCCCTTGTTTTCCAGGTGGGCACGTGATGCAAAAACTTGAAATGTATTCCCTTATTTTCCAGGTGGGCGCCTGATGCCAGAACTTGAACTGTATTCCCTTGTTTTTCAAGTGGGAGCCTGATGCCAAAACTTGAAAATTCCATTATTTACCAGGTGGGCGCCTGATGCCAAAACTTGAACTGTATTCCCTTATTTTCTAGGTGGGCGCCTAATGCCAAAACTTGAAATGAATTCCCTTGTTTTTCAAGTCAGCGCCTGATGCCAAAACTTGAAATGCATTCCCCTGTTTTCTAGGTGAGCGCCAGATGCCGAAACATGAAATGAATTCCCTTATTTTCCCAGTGGGCGCTTAATGCCGAAAATTTAACTAAATTCCCTTGTTTTCCAAGTGGGCGCCTGATTCCAAAAGTTGAAATTTGGAGGTTCGGAGTAGAATTAAGCTTGAATTGGCGAAGTTGATATTTTGGAGATTTCCGGTTGATGGGCGAGAATTTGATATAAGAGTGGGAATGGAATTCCGAGAGTTGCAGTAGCTTTGTCATGTCATTTGGGATGTGTGTGTAAAATTTAAGGTTATTCGGACGAGGTTTGGTTGGGTTTTTAATCAAAAGTGTATTTCGGAAGATTTTAGAAACTTAGGCTTGAATCCGATGTGATTTGGTAGATTTGATGTTGATTGAGGTGTTTTGATGATTGAATCAAGTTTGAATAAGGTATTGGGTTATATTGGTGCTTTTGGTTGAGGTCCCGGGGGCCTCGGGGTAATTTCGGATGGTTAACGGACGAGTTGAAGTGTAATTGCAGCTGCTGAAGTTGCTACTTCTGGTGTTTTCGCATCTGCGGTTTGGGGACCACAGGTGCGGTGTCGCACGTGCGGAAGGGAAGGCTCATATGTGGTTTGGAGGAGTAGAGCCAGGAGTCGCAGATGCAGTATATGGGCCGCACCTACGGAGTCGCAGATGCGAAAAGGTGACCGTAGATGCGGTATGTGGCCTTTAAGTGAGTTCCGTAGAAGCGGAGGAATTGACCGCATATGCGGTACCGAAGAGGCAGATTTTGGACTGCAGATGCAGTTAGGCCTGGGCAAAATGTATATATTTCTTCCTTCGCGATTTTTGAAGGGGTCAACCATTTTTGAACTCGGAATTGGGAGCTTTGGGCGATTTTGATGAGAGAAATCAAAGAGACTTTGTTAAGGTAAGGATTTTCGGCTTAAAACACATTTCTATGGTAGTATTTCATGGATTAAGGCTGTAATTAATGGAATTTAAGGGCTAAAAATGGAGGATTTTGGCTTGAAAATAAGAGGCCTTAAATTGAGGATTTTAGGGGTCATGTAAACTCCGATTTTGGTATTCTTGATATGCATAGACTCGTGGGGAGATGAAGAATCTATTGATGGAAAAATTTCTGAGTTTCGAGAAGCAGGCTCGGGGTTCGGGTTTTGCTAATTTCGGGATTTGTACCCTTTATTGATTGTTTTCGCTTGGGCTTTGTTCCCTTAGCATATCTTGATGTTCTTGTTCTGATTTTGGATAGATTCGACGTGTGTGGAGGCCGATTTGAGGGACAAAGGCATCGCGAGCTAGAGATTTAGCCGGTTCGAGGTAAGTAATGATTGTAAATACTGTCCTGAGGGTTTGAAACCCCGGATTACACATCGTTGTTTTATTTTGAGGTGAGGCACACAATAGATGATGAGCGTGGAGTTGTGCACCGTTGGGGTCTGTGACTTGGTCTATCCCGTACGATTGTTAAGTCGCATATTTGATTTGAAACCTTATGATATTCCATATTCTAGAGATTGATATTATATTCTTGGATGTACGCCATGTTTGGGGCCTTGTGCTGACCTGTTGAGACCCTTAAGGGCATTTTTACTATTTTTCCTCACTCTATTTTTTTTAAAGCATATCCTCAATCATGTTTTTACATGGTTATTGTTTAAATTTGGTTTTATCACTATATTTCTTAAAAATGTGAAAA